ATTTACGTACAGCTCTTTTTATGTTCAGCCCCAGCCTTTTTATACAATACTTATTCCAAATTATATTGCACTGAGTTCAGTGCAATAGAGTTTCAGATTTAGATTGAGTATCCAAAAAAATTTCCTATTTGATTGCAAGGAATGTCCATCAGTGACAAAATGGTTTCACTGGCTTGCACTGATGGAAGATTTTTAGGTAAGTAGGGATGACCATGAATTAGACTGTCATTTAGCCTGTATGGAGTTCTTTCCTGGGTTACATTTTTAGAGAATGAGATGCAACTGTTGAAATAGCTGACAATTAGGACAAGTACTCTAGAGCAGTGGCCCCCAACCTTTTTTGTGCCACGGCCCGGTACCAGCATCACAAAATGATCCGCGGCCCGGTACCGGCATCAGCACGCATGACAAGGCAAGGCGAACCGAGCGACCGGCCAGCCAGCCATCCCCCACTTCTCCCCGCCACCTTCAACTCTTCCTTTGTACCTTTGTCGATGGGCTTTGCTTCAGGACGGCTTCGGGACAGTCGCTCGGCTCACCTTGCCTTGGGTGCTGAAAGAATCCTTGCGCCTTAGTTTCGTTCAAAGCCCCCCCCTTCTATGAAACTAAGGCGCGAGGATTCCTTCAGGACCCAAACGCCGCTTTCCAACCGGAAAAGCTCACCCAGAAGCACTTTCTCGTCAAACAAGACTTTCCGGTAGGAAATGTTCCGCGGCCCGGTGGTTGGGGACCCCTGCTCTAGAGCAGGGCTCTCCAACCTTGGCAACTTTAAGACTTGTGGACTTCAACTTCTCAGTCAGCTTTGCTGGCTGAGGAATTCTGGGAATTGAAGTCCACAAATCTTAAAGTTGCCACGGTTGGAGAGCCCTGCTCTAGGACGGGGCTCCCCCAAACCCCCAGTCAGTAGCTAACTACCGGGCCGCAGCCAGTTCAAAACCAGGTTGCGTGAGCGATGAGCATCAACTGTGAGCATGTGTGAAGCTCCACTCACGTGAGTGGCGGGCCCTTTCATGCAAAGCTCCACTTGTGCAAAGGCGCTTGTGTTTGCGTGCAAAGTTCCATCCATGAACACTCTGCTCAAGTGACCGCCACTCACGTGAGTGGAGCTTTGCGCGTGAGTACAAGTGCCCTTGGCATGTGTGCGAAGCTCCATTTGTGTAAGCAGAGAGCGCGTGCACCTTACACACACACACACACACACACACACATACCACTGGGCCGCAAATATGGCAAGGTTGGGGACAGCTGCCCCAGGAGGTCAGTTCTGGCAAATATTCTATTTGAATTGTGGTGGCGCAGTGTTTAGAATACAGTACTGCAGCCTACTTCTGCTGACTGCCAGCAGTTTGATTCTCACCAGGCTCAAGGTTGACTCTGCCTTCCAGCCTTCCGAAGTGAGTAAAACGAGGACCCAGATTGTTTTGGGGGGGGGGCAATATGCTGACTCTGTAAACCGCTTAGAGAGGGCTGTAAAGCACTGATGCGGTATATAAGTGTAAGGGCTATTGCTGTTTCAGTTGTTGTGCCACGCGGCTTCAGTTTATTGCATAGTTCTTATATGCCGAAGTGGAACGAAAGGCAGGCAGGCAAATACACTGCAATTGCAACACCTTGGCGAAGTCAGAGCGAGCATCCGCACAAGCTAAGAGGGTTGGCAGGACTGGGTCAGCTCCTTCCAGGCCAGGAGTTTGGCCACATGGTTGTGGCTGCCATCTTGACTTTTTGACTCCTCCTCCTGTCACCCAGCCAAAAGGAAATAATGGCCTCAGTTTCCTTTTGGCATCAGTGGAATATTAACCTTTTTTTTTTTTAAGTCTCTGTTTGCAGGGGTTAGGGGAACGATCCGTCGATTTTTCTAGTCTCTCCCTCTCCCTTCTTTCAAAAGGACTTCAGTCTTTTATATGAAGAAGCCAAGTATTACCAGCTGCAGCCGATGATCAAAGAACTGGAGCGATGGAAGCAGGAGAAAGAGCAACAGAAACATTTCCAGCCCTGTGACTGCTTGGTGGTGAGAGTGACGCCGGATCTCGGTGAGCGGATCGCATTGAGCGGGGAGAAGGCGCTGATCGAGGAGATCTTCCCAGAGACGGGGGATGTGATGTGCAACTCGGTGAATGCTGGCTGGAACCAGGACCCCACCCACGTCATCCGCTTTCCCTTGAACGGGTATTGCCGGCTGAATTCGGTGCAGGTATTGCTGCCTTTCCACCTTCCCCTTTTGTCTCGGCAGAAGAATCCACTCTGCTTTGGTGTCCCTCCATCCAGTGCCCAACCGGCAACATGGTTTATGGCAGGGGGTGTCAAACTCAAGGCCCGCGGGATGGATCTGGCCAGCAGGGTGCTTCGATCTGGCCCGCCCTGGAAACAGCGAAGGACTGGCCAGCGCTGAAGTGGAGCTCGGGCGGGCCATGTGTGGCCCTCCCAGGCCCTGTTTTCAGCCACGATGGCCTCCTGCATCCCTCTGCCAGCGAAAGTGGAGCTCGGGAGGGCCTTCCCAAGCCCTGTTTTCACTGGCAGAGGGATGCAGGAGGCCATCATGGCTGAAAACAGAGCCTTGACGAGTGATGTCAAACTGGCCACGCCCACCCTGGCCACGCCCCCTCCGCCCCCCTGAGGTCAAACACAACCCTGATGCGGCCCTCAAAGGGATCCAAGTTTGACGCCCCTGGTTTATGGTGAGCTCATGCACGGTTCAGGGTTTTTTCCACCCCTCTCCTTTTCCTTCTCTCTTCTTCTTTCCCCTCCCAAGTTCAAGCAGGAGGAAAAAAAAATAGATTTAGATTTTGTATATGTTAGCACCACGCTGATCTCATAACAAATGCTAATTTTTTTTCATCATCGCATACCCTGCAGCAGCCTTCTTTTTTTCCCTTCTCCGTTGCCCCTAGGAAGGAGGAGGGGGAAGAAAAGGGGGAAAAAAAAACTCCATCAAACTACTAGACCGTACAAAAGAAGAAAAGAAAAGAAAAAGGGGGAGAGGAATGTTTTGCATGCCACTTTGTAGAAAATGCAGCAAGGTTTAAATGCATAATTTATGTCCCGCTCATAATTAAATGATGGAGCCTGCAGGATGGACTTTTAAAAAAAAATGATCTCTGCACTTTTCCCTCCCCTCCCCCCACCCCCCAATAAAAAGATGTACTGTAAAAATTGCCCAGAGTATTTAAAATAAAATGTGTTCCACTTTATACTCAAAGGTTTTTGTAGGGATTGAGAGTCTTTTTTTTTTCCTTTCTACCCTTTTTTTTTTTTTTTTGAAGTTTTAAAATTAGGTCTTGAAACAAAGGCAGAGGCTGATCAGCAGGTACAGGAAAATACAAGCCAGGGTCCACGTGTCCTTTGGCATCTTCTCTGGAAGAGTTCTCCCATCAGGGCTGGTCAACCCCAGGAGTGGGGACAGCTCAGCTCGACTTTGATAGATAGAAGCCTCACTAATTAGGGAAGCCCCCAAAACAAGGGCCTTCCTCAGGTGCCATGCAGGAGGGAGTTCGCTTCTGGCCAAAGTTTTGGGCTGGTGGGAGCCAAGGGAGCCCCCCCCCCCCCAAGACCATGGTTATTGTTGCTCTCTGGAGTGCCCAGTCCTGAAGAAGAAGAAAAGGAGCTTTTTGGGTGAGGGATGAAGTGGGAGATGAATCCCTACCCATTTTAATCCTTGAGATCCCAGTGGAATTTCTCCCCCCACCGTTTTAAAATCAGTTGGTTTCTTTATAAATTATCATTTATAATCAATTTATTTATTAATAAAACATATTGCATGCTTGAATTTCACTGTCACAATTGCAGGATGGAATAGATATAGGAATAAAAGTTATAAAATCACAACAGGCTATAAAACGGCAAGAATGGGATTAAAATTATAAAACAAACATGATCTTAAAATAGAAGAACACTTTGGCTCAGTATTAGAACTTATTAGAACTCAGTATTAGAACTAAGCAAGCCAAATCCATCTTTAGCTCATTGGGAAATGGCTTAAGAAGCTACCCAAGACCCGAGTGCAGAAATGCCTCCTTTCTAGAGTGAGAGAACAAAATTGAATTTTGGTTTATTTTTACCTCTAGAATTGTATATTCAGTGAGGGAAAACTATTGATTGAGCAGCTGATCATAAATCTGTGTTCATCTATAAATCTAAGGATTGCTTCCAAAATCCAGCAATTTCTAAAGTTTTTAGCTTGATGCCTTAACTACTAACCAACTGGAGCTTACCATAATGAGTGCAAACCAGGCAGGGGTCTCCAACCTTGGGAACTTTAAG